CCGGGGATGTGTTCTGAGAAAGGGGTCGTTAGGCGATTTCGTCCTTGTGCGAACATCGTAGTGTACACACACAAACCTAGACAGTATAGCCCACTACACACCTAGGCTATAGGGTACTAATCTTATGGGACCACCATGGTACATGTGGTCCATCGTTGACCGAAATGTTGTTTTGTGGTGTATGACTGTACAATTATTATGAATTGCTCCCCCTCACATTATAAATATCCTCCTTTGTTTAATAAGCTTTTCCCTGATTTCAACCTCTTTTTATATTAAGATGACACCCTTGCTTTCTTTGTTTGTATTTTCTTGGTACACCTTTGTCCATACTTTTAACCTTCTAATTGACTTTGTTTTAGGTGAATCTTGCATACAAGAGTTTGTGATCCCATCTGAAAGTCTTTCTGTTTCAATAAGTGAGTTTAGCTCATTTGCATTTACTAATACGACATATTTAGGTTTAGGTTTACTTCTGGCATGAATGTTAGGCTCTCTTCTTACTTTAAAAACTTTTCATGATGTAATTTTTTCTTGCTTTGTACGTTTCTGTTTTAAAATTTGTACCTGGCATTTATTTTAATCAGGTTTGGAAAGGTGACAGACATGAGACAACTGACTTTGAAAGAATTTATTACTTACATTTCCCAAGAGAAGTGGGCATACCATGCCACAAAGGGCCACATGGGGAAGCACAATGGTCGGCCAGGAAGCAAGAGCGAGGGGAACTCCTAAGCCTTTACTGCTACAGTGGTGGGAAGTTGTTGGTTGGGGACGTCCCCTATCGGGCAGGAAGTGAAACACAGATGTTGGGGTTTGTGATCAGAGGGTTTGTAATCCAGTAAAGCTGATCGCAGGGGAGATGTAACAACTTTGGCCATTTGCTTGGCCTTGTGATTAATGGATGCCAAATAGACTACATGGAATCTAAGAAACACAGACGAGTTTCTTCTGATAATTTAGGTTTATACTATCTTTCTTCTATAAAACTTCATATCATAGTCTTAACATTTGACTTTTTAAATGGCATCTATTATTCTCCTCTTTCAATAATGTATATTTATGTAGATTTATACATATTTATACTACATATATACCATATACATATACAGTATATACATATAGTCTATACTATTTATATAGTATATTCCCTCTTCCTTCTCTCACGTCTACCACTTTATTTTACTTGATGTTATCTGCATTGACTTTTGTACAATATGCTTTTAATACTATTACTAGATTTATCATCTTTTTTTTTTTTTTTAAAGATTTTATTTATTTTATTTTTTCCCCCCAAAGCCCCAGTAGATAGTTGTATGTCATAGCTCCACATCCTTCTAGTTGCTGTATGTGGGACTTGGCCTCAGGATGGACGGAGAAGTGGTGCCTCGATGCGCACCCGGGATCCGAACCCGGGCCACCAGCATTGCAGCGCACGCACTTAACCACCAAGCCACAGGGCCAGCCCAAGATTTATCATCTTTAAATACCTTTTAACCCTCCACCCCAGCCTTTAAAAACATCATATTTACACTACTACCTTTTCCCCCCTTCTATTTTTTTAAATTAGGATTTAATATTTATATTCTGTTCTACGGCAATAATCACTTTTCGTTTTGGTCCTACAGTTAAACGTTCAGTGTACATTGCCAGTCCTGTTTTATGTTTTTTTTAATTTTCCATTCATCTGGTTTGCTGTTAAGTTGTATTTTATTTTTTTTTTTTTTTAAGATTTTATTTATTCAGTTTTTTCCCCCCAAAGCCCCAGTAGATAGTTGTATGTCATAGATTCACATCCTTCTAGTTGCTGTACGTGGGACTCGGCCTCACGTTGGACGGAGAAGTGGTGCCTCGGGGCGCTCCCGGGATCCGAACCCGGGTCGCCAGCATCAGAGCGCGCGCACTTAACCGCTAAGCCACAGAGCCGGCCCAAAGTTGTATTTTAGTAGATTATCCAAGAAAGGTTCATACTTTCTGACTTCTCTTATGTAAGGAAGTTTCTTGGCTTTATACATGAATGATATTTGTCTCGCAGCCCAATACCATTTGAATTCTCATAACGTATGGGAAGGTCTGGCTTTATTGGTCCTGTCTCCCCAAAGCAAATCCAGAAAACTCCTTAGCATTCTATGAAAGGGGCATGTAACCCAGCTGTCTTCAATAAGACGTTTCTGGATGAGATTTCTATTTTGAATTCAGCAATTTAAGGAGGCCCCACGAAGAATTCTTTGTTGCTGTTGTGGTGTGGGTGGGGGCATTCCTCACCTTCTGCAGGGGCAGTGTGTTTCCCAGTGTTCCTGGTACAGAAGCAGCATCGGTGGGGCACGGAGGCAGCAGCACGTTCCTCTGGCGCCCTGTGTGGCAGTAGGGTGGGAGCGGCTTCCTCTTCAGGCCAGTTCTACAGCGTGGTTTTAGAAACTGCTCTTTGAAGCTTATCCTCTTAGTTCACCAGCCCTCCAACAATTCCGTCAGCTACCAAAATTCTTACAGAAAACTCCTTTTCCTGCTTCATCAAGTCAGTCATTTTCTATTGTTTGCAACCAGGAGTCCGCAAATCACAGCTCATGGGCCAAATCTGACCCACTACTTGTTATTATTAAATGGATTAAAAAAATAAAGAATATTTAGTATTCTTGACACAGGAAAATTTTATGAAATTCAAATTTCAGCGTCCATAAATAAAGTTTCATCGGAACACAGCCACGCTCATTTGTTTATGTATTACTTATGGCTGCTTTAATGCTACAGTGGCACAGGTGAGCATTTGTGACAAAGGCCATATGGCCCAGAAAGTCTAAAATTTTTCCTATCTGGCCCTTTACAGAAAAAGTTTGTTGACTCTTGGTTTGCAACTAAGAAACCTGACTGAAATATCTGGGTATAAGATTGTTTCTTAAAAAAATTTGTAGACATTGCTCCATTGTTTTAGTGATGAATGTTGCTTTGGAGAAATTTGAGGACAGACTTTTTTTTCTCCTTCTGAATGGCTTATTTGTGTGTCTTCTCATTTAGCTTCTCTTTTACTTCTTATACTCCACCAAGTTCTAGAGAAGCTGCTGCCGCCAACCTGTATGCCATATTCACACTATTGCAGACATGGGATTTTACTCTTTGCTCCAAGAGGTATGCGAAATATACTTTGAGAAATATACTTTGCTGGTTCCTTCTAAAGCGTCAGCCACAGGCATCATCTCTGCCTCCGCCCTCGTGCGAGGCTGAGGCTGGTGGACCATCCTGACAGCTTCTGGCAGCTCTTCTTAGTGTGTTGGAGTTTGGGTCTCAGTTGTTTCCTAGTTCACAGAAGAAGATGGACTACATATTTCTGTTTCTCGGTTTCCTTAACACTTCTGAGCAACTTCCCAGGAGAGAAGGGGAAGAATGCCTCCAACTTGTTACGAGAAATTCTCCTTTTATTTTCTTGTTCTTTTTCTATACTCTTAAATCAAGCTGCTTAACCACTTTGGTTAAGTTCTGTACCACTGTGTCCTCAATTATAAGCGGTATAATCACCCACTTTACGTGTATCTCCCTCATAGTGGTATGCGATCAAAATCTGCTATACCTGCTAGGGCAGTAGTACTGGACAAAGCAGTCTTTGTCCTTACAAAGCTGGACAAGCGGTGGTGGCTGGGCCAGGACAGTGGAACTGTAAGTCACGAAGAGTAATCAGATTTCAGGTATTTTGAAGATAGCACTGAGAGGATCTGCTGATGGACTGATATGGGGATAAGAGAAAGAAGAGGTAAAGATAACTCCAACATTTTTGGCATGAGAAACCAGCAGGATAGAGTTATTCAACACTATAAAATTTGAGAACACCATGGGAAAAGGGAAGATTCAAATAGCTTCTCAGGAGAGAAAAAAAAGGTCACATACCAAGAACAAAAATCAGAATGGCTTTGGATTTCTGAACAGCAACACTGAAAACTAAAAACAATACAGCAATATCTAAAATTCTATGCCCAAACTATCAATCCAGGGGTGAGGGTAGAATTTGCCTTTTAAAAGCTTTCTTAGGAAGCTACTAGAAGATGGGTTCCACCAAAAGGAGGGAGTAAAACAAGAAAGAGGAAGACACTGGAGCCAGGGAATGGGAGAGAAAATGAGAAGTTCCAAGATGACAGCTGTGCAGTTCAGACTGGAAAAGGCCAGAGAATTCCGGGAGAGAGGTCTCCAAGAAGTTAAAATGAACTATTTGTTTGCATGTTCTGAGAGGAGACTCAGACTTGCAGTGGAGCCCTGGGGTCAAATCAGTGGTAGGGACATAGAAAGCTAAGTAATTGGAAAACAAATTATTAATTCTAGGGAAAACAAAAAGGTGTAGAAGAAAGGAAACGAATAATGTTCAATAGTCATAGTAACATAAAGTCTAAATACAGATCTAACTAAAAATTATAATATATAATGAAATTGGAAAGAAATGGGGAAGTGAGACGTATATACATATGTATAAGGGTTTAAGAGACCAACATTCTCACCTTCTGTAGTAAAAAGTTAATATAATTTTTAAAACTGAAAATTCAAGAATTAGCATACCAGCATGTCCTTTAGAAAAATGGAGGTAAACGGGAGAACAGTTGAAATTGAGCAGAAAATGGGGGCATGTAGAAGAATGGAACAGAGGCTGCTAGGTTTTAATATAAGCTTTGCATGCCTATTTATTTTAAAAAGGCACATGTTTAACTTTGGTAATAAAAAATAATACATCTTAAAACATTTTTCAGTAGCTAAGATGTTAAGCTTAATATGTCTATAAAATATTTCCAATTTTTTTTGGAATTAAAAGTTGGTTTTATTTCTGAAAGATATTCATTCATTTTTTGTGTGTATCAGAACTATTTAAACATTAAAATGTAACTTTGTGACTGCTTACACAGATAGACATTTGATATGCAAAACCATGAAATATTTATAACAACAAAAGACAGGTCAAAAACAAAACTATAAATAACATATCATTTAGATTAAAAAAATGTACACAATCTATCTTCACTCTTTTGGAGAAGTTGTAAAAAATTAACACGACTTTATCACTTCTTAAATTAGTTTGACACTCTTTTCCTATTACATTACTTTTGGGAGGTCACTCATTATTGAGATGGCTTTAAACTGCTAATAAACCCAGGAGGTCCTGGTTGGTACTCCTTTCACATGGTTTGAAGCTGGTAAACCTTTGGGCCTTTTTTCAAGAGGTAACCTTGGTCATTTAGTGATCCAATAAAATTTTCAAAATCAGCAACCTGGCAGAAAACATCAAAAGAGTTAGCCCATTAAGTAATATGCAAAAATATGATTTTTAAAATTAATGTCTTAGCAATATACAATTATCAAGTTTCTTGGGTAAATAAAATTATTTGTACTTCTTACTGAGAAAATTGCCTACCTGTGAACTTTGGATTCTATAATGTGAAGTTAATCAAAAATAAAAACTCTAGTATGCAGAGAATCTTCAAAACAAAAATTAGATCAGCTTTTGAAATTAAGTGGGCAATTTTCCAAACTGTTTTACATGTTTAAAGTGCTGTAACAGCCATTTTCACTAAAACTTTTAAGTAGGTGGAACAGGTAGAATCATGTCCATTTAACAAATGAGGAAACTGAGGTTCAAAGATGTTCAGATGATTTGCCAATAAGGGACTGTCAGAAAAACGTGGAACCTGAGTCTTGCTACAAATGTTTCCCCCTGACAAGATGCTGAAAACTGTTTTGAAAAGAGGTAGGTATAAATTTTAGATAAAAATTGTTTTTGTAAGCTCTGAGCAGCTAATTTCATAGCTTAGAGAAAACAAGCTTGTATTTTCAAATATTCCAAAAAATGCCTATTCTGTTCTTTTAATCCAAATCTTTTGATATTTAAAAGTTCTACTATATATTAATAAAGACCTCCTGAAATTATTATAAAACAGATTTATTAAGTTCTTGGTTTATCATACCTGAATGTTTAGCTCTTTGGCAATCTGTCGAAGTTGATGAAACTGAAATAAATTATTGTAAGTTCTTTCAGCAATGTTGTTGAGAGCAGAAATAAATCTTTTTGCTGTTGACCTGTTGCTCATTCCAGAACCGTGCTGGGATCGCTCAAAATCTAGGTTCCCAAATTCATCAGAGTAAGTTCCTAGCATGCTTAATGAGAGGGGAAGAAAAAGAAAGTTAGCCAATGTGGCACAGCTACAGAAATTTTTGTCCCAGACCTCCAGGTTATAAGAAGAAAAATGCGAAAGTAGACATGAGGCTCACGTAGCCAAGATTTAAACACATATTTATTGAGTGGCCAATATGAAATTCACTATAGTACAGACATAGAACATTTTGTCCTGTTTGAGGACAAAAATATTTTGGACACAGTTACCACTTCTAAGAAACTTCTAAATTTGAAAAGAGAAATGCATAAAAACACAAAGTTGATAGACTACAATATAAATACCTTGGACATTCTTTTTGATTCATGAAAAAAAGAAATTCTAAACATACTAAATTTAGGCTTTACTGGGCAAAGATGTAGTCCCAGCTGCTACTGCAGCATCTGGCAAATAAAAGGTGTTTAAAAATACTCTGGGAATGAACTAGAAGGATTCTGCTGACTTGTAGTAATGATGGTTAAATATTAAAGGATACACCTATTACCTCCAGTTCTCTGCTGATTCCTCCTATTTTCACAATATCAAGGAAAGAAATATGCACTTGACAGTGAATTTTAGCCTGAAGTCTGAAAGTTACAGATACAATTAGCCATCCTCTAACCTAGCCCTATTGCGGATTCTCTGCCTGTAAATGGGAGCGAGTCTCACAGCCAGGCTTGTAGGCAAAGATGTTATTTAATCAGGAATTAATCAAGTATAAACTGGTCACCTGCTAGGCAGTAGGCTTACAGTGGTGAACAAAATAGGTGCAATCTCTGCCCTGAAGGAGCTCACAGGAATGAGTCTAAAGGGTTACTAAAAAAACAGCTTTGTTTTGTTTCCTGAATAGATAAGAGCCTGCATGAAAGAGACTGAGCTGTACAAATAGGAATATGAGTCATCCAAATAAGTCTCTAATGACTGATAATACGATAGATGAATGTGTGCTTCTCCCCGAAATGCAGTATAATCTTAGTTAAGGTTTTTATGATTAACTACTCTACCATATAATTTGCCATATGCTTATTTCTCATAAGACAGTTGTCAAAAGTGCTTTAAGCTACTACATTAATTATAATAACTAATATTTATCTTAATTACATTTATTTACCATATGCTATCCCATTTAGTCCTCCCAGCAATCCTATGACTTAGGGACTATCCATATTCCTATTTTACAGATGAAGAAACAAAGTCTAGTAAGGTTAAGTGACTTGCCAAAAGTTACACAGCTAATGAGTAGCATATCTGAGATTTCAATATGAGCTATACTGGTCCAGATTTGAAGAAAGGTATGTAAAATATTTGAGCTACTTTCTTGAAATAGAAAAAACTCACAATGATCTCTCACCTTTGAAGGTGGCTCTACTCCATTCTGCTTCCTAGCATATTTTCAATTTTAAGAGAAATCATATGTGAATTGTTGCCCACAAACATTCAGTTTTTATAGCTTTGTGCTCTGATAACTATGATGAATTGTGTCACTGTTTAGATTTTTCTTATTTAGGGTTCTGTTTCCCAGTTAAAATGTAATTTTACAGGTTCAAAACCACATTAAGGGGCCGGCCCCGTGGCTTAGTGGTTAAGTGTGCGCTCTCCGCTACTGGCAGCCCGGGTTCGGATCCCGGGCGCGCACTGACGCACTGCTTCTCCGGCCATGCTGAGGCCACGCGTCCCACATACAGCAACTAGAAGGATATGCAACGATGACATACAACTATCTACTGGGGCTTTGAGGAAAAAAAAGGAGGAGGATTGGCAACAGATGTTAGCTCAGAGCCGGTCTTCCTCAGCAAAAAGAGGAGGATTATCGTGGATGTTAGCTCAGGGCTGATCTTCCTCACACACAAAAAAAACAAAAAACACAACCACATTAAGGGGGCCAGCCCCGGTGGCCTAGTGGTTAAGTTTGGCATGCTCCACTTCAGCAGCCCGGGTTCAGTTCCCGGGCACAAACCTACACCACTCATCACTGGCCATGCTGTGGTAGCGGCCCACATACAAAATAAAGGAAGACTGGCAACAGATGTTAGCTAAGGGCGAATCTTCCTTGGCAAAAAAAAAAAAACATATTAAGGGCAAACATTCAAAAGGTGAAAAGACAGAAACTCTGAAATGGAAGATTTAATAACAAAAGATGATTACTAAGGTCAACTGTACCCTTAATGCAGTACATTTACTGATGGCCTACTGTGTGCTAAGCATGATTCTGGGCCCTGGGAATAAACTGGTAACACAACAGATAAGGTCCCTGCTCTCATTAGAGTGTAGACTAAGGCCAGAAAGCATGTTAAGTATAACAAGGCAGATAATTCACAAGCTAGTCTCAGTGTGTTGAACTGGGTCTTGATCTCTACCATGGAAATAATGCCAGGTAATTCTAATTATTTGGAATCAAACTATTCTCTTTTTCCTGAAAACTTTTATAAAAACTTTACACTTCAGCAATTTAGGGAAACAAACTGGTAATCTGATGTGGGTGCTGTTTATACTTAATAATCAGACCTCTTTTTTTCAGGATCCCAGAAGTACACTGACAGCCTGAAACGAATTCGGATTTATCTGCAAGCCAACTTTAAGAAATACTAGAAATCAATACAAAGTTCCACAAGGAAATGCCCAAGAGCTCCTCTCGGATGGAAAAGCACATGCAAACACCGTCTGACACGAGTATTCAGACACACAGAACTAATGGTAAATGAGCACTGTAGCATTTTCATTGAAAAGGTGATTAGAGCATAATTCACCTTGCTTAAGTATAATGCTCAGATATGAGAACTAATCCATGGTGTCCACAGACCAGTGGATTTATTGTGGAGAAACACGTGATGGCTGCTTGAGACCAAGTCTGGGGTCTGAGGCCTAGGGAAACTGAATAAGGGTAAAGCCTCAAAAAGAGAATGTTACCGGTAAGAGAGGGGGTGATGAGGGTTGTCTGACACTTGATTTGCTTGACAGCCAACAGTCTATGAAGTAGAAGCACATGAGGTTCTTCAGCAGAGCCAGGCACCAAAAGACCCAAAGGGCGAGAGATCATTACAAGGAAAAGGAAACCTAGAGTGGCAATCTTAGCCCCACTCTCAAAGGTAGAGAGTTTAAGCACAGGATGCACAGAAAGAGAAAAATACACACACTCTAGATTGAAAGCAAAGAGGCAACATCTTGTCATTAAACAAGGACTATTGTTAGTCCTTGTTTTTAATTGAGAAGAAAAGTTAGAATCTAAGTTTTCTGGAACTTTGGTTGGGTTCAGTGACTTAGTTTCCGAGTGAAAAAAGGATCTCTGTTAGGGCAAACTCTAGGTTTCTTACACGGTCTGGTCTCCCAGAAGTCAGGCAGGCAACTTGTATTTGGGGCCATTCCTTTATTTCACACACTAGCACACTGAGCCCCTGGCAGCATGCTGTATGAGAAAGTCTAGTAATTCCTAGACTATCTGGTGCTTATAAATGGCAACTGGAGGGTCTCCAACACAATGAAGTCAACTGGAGAGGGAATGAAGCCAGCTTGGTAAAATTTTCACCTACAAGATCCCCGAAACCCTAGTACTGAATCACATAAAAGAGAAAACTGACGGTTCAAACACTGTGTGATGGTAAACCAATAGGATATTCAGACAAAGAGGGTAATATGTTAGGAACTGGTTGAAAGAGTTGATAGTCATTAATTGTTAAGGGTTTTACTCATTACAAGGCAGCTGCTTTGGGGCCAGCAATAAAAAATTAAGAGCTGTCAATTCTAGAGTCTTTAAAGCTTTCAAAGGCCATAAAACGTAACCTCACTGTTGCTGACAAACTGACACACTGATTTAAAGAGAAAGGTTCGCCTTCTTCCACAGGCTGCCTATAAGTGCAAGAAACAAGTTGCAGGTTAATGCGTAGACCTTCAGGAGGTAGCATGGGTGCCCTTCTACCTAAAAAGCAGAAGGAACAGAGTGGCCTCTAGGGACAGGCCAGTACCAGCCTAGGGATGAAGAGACAACTCGGGAAAGTCTCTCCCTAAAAGGAAAGGGAAAAAAGGATCTGCAGCTCAGAGCTACTGGGCAATTTAGATGGAGAGCACTGAAGACTAGAACCAAGGAATTCTTTCAAAAGGGTAATTTTGGAAACTTTTAATCTGTGATGTGAGATCTGCCAGTTTGAAGACTTCAGTGTGTGGTATGAGTCAGAGAAAAGGGTTTCAGTCTCATCTTAGTATCATCAAAGCCAGCACTACTGATCATAAATAGTGTTTACTGAGTGCCCACTACTGTACCAGAACCATACTGGTCACTTTATATAGCATCGCTGCATGACACCTCAGAGCACAATCCTCTGTGGTGTGTTTTACACAAAAGGAGACTGAGAAGCAGAGGGTAACTTGCCATGGCAGCTCCAGGTCAGGTGCTAAAGCCCGTGCTCTTGCAGCTATGCTGTACCGCTTTTACTCAGAGCCAGAGAGTAACGACTGGGCAGTCACCTGGTTCTGACTCCAAGCAAACCCCAGAATAGCAGCTCTTAGGAAAAAAAATCCATCTCCTTTTAAAGAAACAGAAATTACTTAACAAAATAATTTACCTTTAAATTAGTATTTTTTGGCCTTGGAAAAATAGATTCCTAACAGATTTGTATTTTAAGTGCTCTGAGAGCATATTAAAAAGAGCTAGTTGCTAAATTATGATACATCCACACAATGTATTCACACTATGCAGTTGTGAAAAATAAAAGGAAGCTCTTTCGGCACTGATATGGAATGATCTCCAAGATACATTTTAAGTGAAAAAAGCAAGGTATAGAATGTGTGTGGCATGCTGCCATTTGTCTATACAAGAGGAAAAAGAATATACAGATAGAGTTGTGATGTGTATTTCATAACTGAAAGTCACATAAAAAAATTGATATTTGTTGCCACTGGGGCAAGAGGAGGGAGAATTAGGTAGCTAGTCAACAGGGTAGGAGGAACCTCTTCCACTGTATACTTTTTGAACTTTGGAATTTTGAAGCACATGAATGTGTGAACCTATTTAAAAAATTTTTTTAATTGAAAGAAAAAAACCTACCTAAAATAATCAGCTTTAGCTTTTATTGATTAAAAAAAATCCATGAATAAGTTAGTCACATATGATCAGTTAAAATATAAATTTTTTTCTTTTCTACCTTCTAGGAATCATGATCTACCAAATGATATAAAACACAAAGGACAGAGATTAGCAATATTTGTCAAAATCCTAATGTATTCATCTACCCTTGGACTCAAAAATATCATTTATGAGAATTTCTCACACAGGTATACACTTACCCACATATGAAGTATCTGGCAGAGATTACTCATTGCAGCATTGTTTGTAATAGCAAAAAATTCAAAAAATTTGAATACGGAAAATATTCATGTATCTAGCAATGGGGGACTGAACAAATAAACTATGGTGTATCTAAACAATAGAATACTATGTAGCTGTAAAAATGGAGGAAATCTCTATGTCCTAGCAAGGAAAGATCTCTGGAAATACTGTCATATTAAAAAACAAAGGTACAAGAGAACAGATTGGCAGTTGCCAAAGGTGGGCCGGAGAGTGGGCAAAATGGGTGAGGGTGATCAAAAGGTACAAACTTCCAGTTATAAAATAAATAAAGTGCTGAGGATGTAATGTACAGCATGCTAACTATAATTAATAATACTATACTGTACACTTGAAAGTTGCTAAGAAAGCAGATCTTAAAACTTCTCATCACAAGGAAAAAAAATTGTAACTATGTGTGGTGATGGACGTTAACTAGGCTTATTGTGATCATTTCACAATGTATACATATATTGAATCATTATATTGTACACCTGAAACTAATAATGTCATATGTCAATTATATCTCAATTAAAAAAAAGGTACAGAACAGCGTAAGTCATATGCTATTTACAAGAAAGTAATGGGTGTCTTGGTGGAGAGAAAGGGTGGATGGTAAACAGAATGGAGCAAGCTTTCTCAAAATATGTATTTTTGAATTGATTTTAGAAAGTGAAAGTATTACCCATTATTTTACGTTAATTACCCACATATTACTTTATGTGAAAGTATTACCCATTCAAAAAATATTTTTAATGTAAAGATTATTTACACAAGAATATTTTAAACCAAGAAAGCACAGTTTGTTCAGAGAAAAATAAGTGATCAAAGGGGCTAAATAAAAATAATTTTACTTGGCCTAATTAAATATATAATTTGAGATGGAAAGATGACCACTATTTAATTTAAAACAGCATTTAAAATTTTAATCTTACCTATATTTCATAATTTCAACTATGTCCTCAGCATCTTCTTTGGTTGCTTCCTCTCTCAATTCTAACCTTGCTCGTGCCTTTTAAAGAAAATAACCATTTTCAGATAACAAAAAATAAATATATTTGACATTTTTTGAGCAGGAATAGTATATCTAAGTTTATTTCATTTATTCATCTTACACAAAAAATGACTTTTGGGGGGGCAGCTGTAATATGAAAAATCAGAATTAAAAAAAATCTGAACACTTGGGTATGAAAATAATCACTCACTTTAAATATGGGTTAACACCTACTGTTATCTACTAATATATCTTTCTGAGCGTTCATTTCAGAAGATCTGATTATGAAATACACTTGTCTTTCCTTGCTTTTTACTTTCAGGAAATCATGACTAATTTAACTAATTTGTTAAAACAACAAAGAGGAGTTAATCAGATTTTAGAAGCAAAAAGCCCAAACTCTGACCCAGCTAATTTTAACTGCCAGAGTTCTCTTAGCATTCCACAGCTGTGAAGAGATGTTACTGCTATTAGAGAAACAGGCACTGTCCCTATGGACCTGTCGGGCATCAAACCAAATACTGAAGAACATTCCATGTTCCCACATACTTGACTTTGAATCCCAAAATCCTTAGTTAACCTAACCACTCTTCACACTTCAGGAGTCTCCTAAGTGTCATTAAAGGTAAAAAAATGTTGCATGGTAACTGGTCCTGTGTCTAGAAAGAAGTGGCTATACTTTGACCGATGAGTTAAAGATAGGACCGAACCTTTTAAAAAACTTTTATCCATCCATTTCTAATGTTTCTCAGTAGGAAGAAAAACCAAATCAATTATACAGAAAATTGAGAGAAATCATATTATCTCCTGCTCCCCTTTTTAAGCCAAAAAAGCATGAACTTAAACAAACCTCTGTTAGACGAATCAAAGATTCCAGCTGCCTAGTAGTAATTGGTGAGCTGTTTAACCACTGGCTCTGTTTTCGGAGCTCAAGGTAAAAATCTTGAAGAATTTGAGCAGCGTCTGTAGATAGCCTTGGATAGACATACTGCCGAGCGTAACCAATGTACTTTCTCAATAGCTGGTGGGGAATTGGATCTATTGTCTCTCCGGGAAGCACCTAAAGCAGGATAAAAAGGCCCAAGATTACAAAGATAAGTTACAAATAAAATCTTTCTGCTAAAATAACTTGTTTAGATAAATATAATATTCTAAAAGACTCTCCAAATAAGCCAAACGCTGTAGTTCTAGTTCTCTGTCTAGTTGACTTAGATTATTTCAACTGAAGTTTACACAAATTTCAGTATTATAATATGAAAGGTTTTGGCAGGAAAGTTTATATACTACTGTTCTACAACTAGCAACCGGCTGAACTCTGACATTCTAACAGAACGGAACTGAATGATTAAGGAGAAGAAACATTTATACCTTTAGTCTTTCTGATAACGGCTTATCAGAAACCACCTCCAGTACAGAAGTATTTGGATCTTGACTATTCATACGAGCTACTGTGGCACTGCTAACAGTTCTCTGCTTTCCAGCTCTTATTGCAATGACATGTTCAGAGAGTAAATGATCATGATCCTCATTTGGGGTGTCTAACAGGATAAAGACCAGATCAAATCTGGATAGCAGGGCACTCCCCATTCTAGGAGGTGTGAAAGAAAGAAAAAACAGTGATTGGAATCAAAACAAACAGAAAACCTAGAAAACTGTTTACTCACTTGTTTACTACTCAAGTTCCATGTCACGCATACAAAAAATAAAGTTTTAAGCTAAGGAAATAAGCAATAGCTTTTGGATTCAATATATACCCACTAACTCTAGAGAGACACTAGGCCACATGCCCTTCAACATGTGTACAGCCTTATGTGTACCTACTTTTGGTATGTTGAGGACATGCCCTTTGTCACACCATTATCAAAACCACGGAATTCTTCTCAATTCTTCTCTATGTTCTATATCCCTATCTATGATTCGAATCATTAAATTTTTAAGCTAAAATGCTACATGATACATCAGAGGTTATCTAGTTGAGTAGTTCTTTTGTATCTTTCATCTCACCAAAACATTGAGTCTCTCAAAGCATCTATGCCCATTTAGAAGCAAAAA